GACCTGAAGTACGTTACAGATAGTCAGGGATCCTGGTTTTCTCTGATATATGATCGCAAAATCTGTGATAAGAAAAAATCACAAATTCTTTAATAACACCCCCCCCAAATCCGTTATTAACATTAAATGCTCCCCATAGCCCCCGGCCCTGCTCATGCCTCTCATTCCCTTCCCTGCAGCCCCCACAGCCCTGCTGGTGCCCCTTGCCCCCCACCCACAGCCCTTGCTCCCCCAGCCTGGCCAGAGGGGCCCCCAGGTGCCAGGGCTATGGACCTGGGTCTGCAGCCCCCTGCCCCCGCTCCCTCCTCCTGCCTGCTGCAGGGGTGGGGCTGGCTCCCTGCCACAGCGTGTACTCCTGAGGGGGCCAGAGGGGACCTGTGCCCCCCAGATCTGTGCGTGGGGCAGGCACGGGCTGTGGGCGTGAGCCTCTGCCCCACTGCCCTCTCCCAGGGGCTCCACAGCCCAGTGGGCATGGGCACAGAGGGGCTGTACGGAGAAGCTGCTTGCCACTGCATGCTCTGCACTGCCCTAGCAACATACCTCCTGTGCATGGGGCTGCTTTGAGGGGCGCTACGCAGTGCCACTGCCCTCACTGCAGCCGCATGCACAGGAGGTGGATCGCCAGGGCAGTGGGGAGCTCCCAGTGGCAAGGAGCTTCTCTGCACAGCCCTGCTGTGCCCTGCCATGCTGGGTCGCACCCACCGGGCTGTGGAGGCCCCGAGGGAGGGCAGCAGGATGGAAACCCATGTCCACAGCCCGTGCCTGCCCTGCTCACAGATCTGGGGGGATCTCCCTGCCCCCCTTAGGAGTGCATGCTGCAGCAGGGAGCCAGCCCCACGCCCTGGACAAGCCACCCGGGGCCCCAGCCCACTCCCCGCTGGGGCCCTACAGCCGTGTTGCAGCCCCAGGCCCCAAGCTCTACATACTCCCCAGTTGGGCATCAGCCCCATCCCCAGCCCTGCCCAGCTTCCTCCCTCCCTACAGGGGTCTCAATCCCCCTCTTCCCACCCCACCTCCCCCACTTACCTGCACGAGCTGCTCTTGGGCTGCTGAGGGCCGTGTGCATATAGATGCATGTGGCACCCCGTCTCACCACCCTCCTCCTGCTCCCTGCAGGCTGGAACTCTGCCAGCCTGCAGGGAGCTCAATGCACTGGGTTTCTCTGGTAAAACAAGAAATCTGCATTTGCCTCCAGCAAAAGGTAAAATCCACTGTTTACTCCATTTTTCCGTGGGAAATCAAAAACGCAGATCCCTACAGATAACTAATGAATGCTTAGTGACAGAACTAGATATTTTAGCACCTATATACGTGACGAACTTCTGATGCAACAATTAATTGAGTCTTCTGAGAGTCTCCTGGAGTGTCCTAATTAGCGTGTATTCAGTGCCCTCAAGTTTCAAAATGGCAGTGGGGGCACTTTATCTAAAGCTCATTGAACAAGCTTTACTTAGAGTGACCTCACCACCATTTTGAAACACGGGATGCTGAAAACATGTGATGCTGTGGGCACTTTAATTAGAGCAACTCACAGAGCCACTTTAAAGTATCCCCCACCTCCACCCTGGAGCACATATATAGGTGCCCTTACAGTCCTAAAAACACCAACTACACAAAGTATTGTATGTACTTCAGATCAGTGTGCAGGTCTTCTACGACTAACAGGCTTGCTAGTTCCCTCAGAACAGATGTATCCCCATGTTCTGTTCCTTCAATCTCTGCAAACCCGTGGTAGAGCTGGTGGTACTGTGCATGGTACTTTACACAATTCAACTGTATATTCCACCTGATTGCAGCTAGTTTGGGTGGCAAAACAACACTCTGTTCCTGCACAGAGCAGGTTCCAAATTTAGATGCGATTAAAGCACATGGCTACCATTTTCATTATGGTCCTCTATTAGTAGAGCTGGATTTAAGCTCCTGGATTTAATTTCATGGCTAGAGCATCTTGCATTGTCAACTGATAATGCAAAAGGGTCCACAGCTGTTCAGAGTGCTGTTGCTAAATCAAGACAGTATGCAATAAAAAGTAAACAGCCAGCAATTGATTTTCTTCATACTTTTTGTGCATTGGATCCTAAACAAATTGGTGCTGTTTCTCCAGATTATGAAACTCTACATATTATGAAACTGGACTGCATCTCAGCTTGGTATGTC